AGTTGAGCGGTTAGCCATTCCCTCCTACCTTCTCCCCAGCCCTTTCCCACCCTAAAGATCTGTATTTAGGGCTAGTCTCTCACTGGAACAATGGTTAACTATGATTCGACTGGGGAAGCCTGCTTGAAGATTACACTTCTTTTCTCTCTGGAGTTTTACTATTACTTTCCCTCTACTAGACAGGAATAAGAAAAATCTATTGCTTCTACTGTTTTTTCTGTTTTTCAGTCATTCATGGGCAGAGTATTCATACTGTAAACAAATTAACTATGATAAAAATGAAGACATTAAAAGGCCGAGGCTATCCTAACTTAAGCAAACTGTTTGGCAAATGTAGCTATACTGCACCTAGATAGAGCCAGTCTTGCTTCAATCAGTACAGCCATGTTTCTGTGCAGCCTGAGATAACTTGCCCTGCTAGATTCCAAACCCCACACTTCCAAACCTGGAGAGCAGTACAGAGGCCTTCCAGGAGCTCTGCAGTCAAACAATCTGTGCATAGCCTCATACTCCACAGAAGAATCTGTGCAGGTCCTGTGTCATGCCTAGTAACACAGAACCTTGATGGCCTCCGCAGAAACTATTGTGATAGTGACTGATCTGGCACAAAAGTGCAATTAAACCCAGTCACTTTAAAAGAAAGAAAGAAAAAAAAAAATCAAATCACACAATTTATTATTTTTCTTTTATTTATGGTCCTTCAATGCATCATCCAGTAACCATATTATTTATGTTACTGTATTTCAGCCGTAAAGAAAACTCTCCAATCAGTGCAAGTTCCTCCCCAAAATGTCATCATATATCACTCACAGATAATGCTGAGCATTTCTCTGCTTTCTATCATTTACATACCATGAAGTGCTATAACTACCTGAAAGCCATTAAGGAAAGATTTCGGAAAAGAAATAAAGGTTTTGTGCTAAAAATATTAACCTGCACAGGTCTTACCTTGACAGAGTTATAGAAAGCTTCAAACACACCCACACTTTTGGCACTAAGCTGCAGATTTACTGATCCTTCCATTGTTAACGAGATACCTTGGTGCTGGACTGTGTCCTTACTTGTTATGACCACGACTCCAGAAAGAACTTCCTAATAGGAAAAAAGACAACATGAAAACATTTGTTTAAATAAATTTCTTCTATAGCTGTTACTCAGACAGTATGCTAACTGATTTTCAAACTCAAGAAAACTGTTCCCAGAGAACAGTCTAACCTTGTCAGAAAGGACAAATACTGATAATGAAAGCAATGCGAGGAAGAGACCTCCGTACTTCTAGTTTGTTTTCTTCATTCTTTAAAAATATTCTCATCCTCCTTGCAGAAGTACTAATCTGAGCTTCAGTTTCTTGCTAAAGTTTCAAGATCTTCCTCTCCAGGAAGATGAAAAATATCCTCCTAAACAACTATCAGGTCAGTTGGTAATAGACAAGTTCCATTTCACATGTTAGAATGAAATCCCAGGAGGAATTTTTATAGGAAGAGTAGGACAGCCAGCCATGGGAGATGGAAGAGAAGGCATAACTGTAAAAGTAATGGCCAAGCTGAGGATAGGACTCACCTCAGGAGTGGAACGGAATAGATTTGAAATAAGTAAACAAATAAATAGTTGTTCTGCTACACAAGCAAATTCCATGCTACATGGGAAATAGTTTAAAAGTGTATCTGAATCGAAGGCACAAGTTGTATGACTCAAGAGATGCATCACTTATCCCACTAAGAATGATTTGTCTACAAAATTGTATTTGCACAAGAACACTGCATCTTGGAAGTATCAATGTAGAAGTTCTAACACTGAAAAAAAGATTAACTGCAGGAGAGAAACATACAGTTCATTTTACATACCCCATAGTTTATCCTTTCCCTCTCCTACAACAGAGAATCCACTCCAATCCGGAGTTCCACGTCAAACATTCATACACATCTGGAAATAGCAGCAAGTGATTTGAGAACCTGAAGAAAGTTTCTTGGGGCTAACCTTCTCTTCTGCTCGATGGTAATGCTCTCTGCACCTTCACCAGGCTTGCAAACTAGACACAAAACTACAGATCACTCCAACCAAAGGATAATTCAGACTGCCCACTCTACACTCGACCAGTTAAAACCAGTCTAGTTATGTACATCTCTGACAGACACTATTGAATTTTGCCAGCCTTTTGTCTTTACTAGTGGTACAGGATGACAATATAGAAAATGGGTCAGGTGGTTTAAAGCAGAACAGGGCAGCAGTAGAACATCAAGCATCACAACGAAGGCTGACATGCTGCAAATCTGAAAAGAGGACCTGCAGCAATTGGGAAATGCCAGGAACAGGAGGCACAAGCACAAAAGGACAGTGAAGAAAAGCTGACCTAAATACTGTACTGCTTTGCTAACAGGCTTTAATTAGTACAAGCAATTAGGTTATTGCTTTGAAAAATGAGTACAGCTGAACTATAAGAAGCAAGGACAATCCTGAACATATGAACTGCTTTAATAAATGAGAACAGTCTCCCACCACACAGCAACAACCTATTCCAGAGCTATTGCCTACATACTTTCACACAGTAAGGGTGTATGTATTTGGGGCAGAAAGGAGAAGAATGACTTTAAGTTAAATATGAATTTTTCTTATTACATTCCATGTCTCTTAAGAAATGAAAGAACACCTCAAAACCACTTTCTAACAAAAACTTTTAAAGGTCACTAGGGTGGGGGAGAGGGAAGTATCATGAAAAAGATGCTGTAATATTTACTTACAACTGTTTATATGCAGATTATGTTTCTGTTTGATGTGGGGGGGGAAGTCTTTTCTGAAGAAGAGCTACTTTGTCCTTTTTTGTGTAAAACCAATACAAAGCTGTCAGTATACAAATCAAAGAACATAAGCTTACCAAGATATTCAAATACTCACAGTTAGCACACAATTTATGAGAAAACTTTACTTTTGCAAAACATTCGCAAATATGTACCATTTGTAAAAGTTACATGGCATCACTTAATACTAAACTAGTACTGTTTTCAGTCTGTATCAAAAGGGATTCATTTACCTTTAACACCACAAAACTAAAGGCGTAGAGAAAGTCACCACTGGAATTAATCCTACAATGTAGTAACTTACAATCAGTTCCGCTTACTCACTTTTTACCTTCTCCCTTATTAGGAACTCCGCATGGCTTCACCATGTGATGACAAAACTTTGCAAGATGGAACTAAGCTAATACAGTTCTACACAGAATTATTCATCTAAACAGAGCATCCATCCACAGGAAGGCCAGTATATTATGTGAAGCAGACAGAGAAGAGAGGTATATATGCTAAACTGCAAACAAAACATTCTTCTGAGAAGACTGTCCCAGGTTAATGATCCCAAACAAGCTTTTTAGCTTTCTGTTGTCAGTTCCTTACCATTCAGACATGCACATGAAACTGCCAGGAAGACTGACACTTTCAAAGTTTCAATCACTTTCAAGGTCACAACTAAGATGAACACCTGCTTCATCTGACCCAGCAGAAAATCCCTCATTTCGCTAGTTATGGAGCGGAGTTACCCAAGTCTGGCTGAGGACAATTTGGAACGATCTTCAATGAGTAACATGAAATGGTGCACAACACGCATCACAGAACCTCATCTCGAGAGTTCTAAGTCACATCTAGACTTCTGACTGAACTAGACAGCTATTCAGTATCTATAAACTTTATGTAAAGACTGGAAGGATCAAAGTACACACTATACTGTCCCATAAATTGTTGGGAAAATTACTTTTAGTGTTAAAACATATACCAATTCCAACCTGACTGTTTACACTGTCAGGTCTGTTTGCTACATTAAGGAGCTAGAAAAATAATTTTAGCTAGATATTATTATGTATTTTCAGATTGTATCTAATCACTTGACAGCATCCCTGATAAGAAAAATCAGCCTAATTTTTTTTTCTCAAATGCAAGGTAGCTTTGAAAAAATAACAAACAAACCACAAGGCAGGTTTTCAAGACCACTTGAAATCTGTCATCACACTTTTTGAGGTGTGACAACAGCAGAGGACATAATACCTAATGCCATACAGAAATGCCTAACATTTCCCTAGTTCCATCTGATATCCACTATACATCTATGGATTAAGCTTTTCCTTATTTTAGTAGAATGGAAGTCCACGGTCAGCTGGTTACCAACAAGATGCCTTAGGTTCCTTTTAGATTCCACTTTCCACATCATAGGCATTCACTTTTAGGACAAAGGACAAACATTTGGCAATTTAAAAATTCACATTAAGTTCACGTAAGTCACATTTACAAAATATTCCTGATGATTTTCTTCCACATCTATTCCTCTACACAAGCTACCTGCAAATCTTAACTACATATTCTTCTGATTATTTAGAAAGAAACTGACCACATTCAATAAAAAAGTCTGCTAGACCCAACTAACTAGTCATTAGATGCTTTAAAACCTCAATGCTCAGATTTACTAATTAGTTTGCTTTTTTAGAAAAAGTAAAAGGCTTCCCCATGGGCAAATTCTGACTTAAGTATGTTTTGGACTCACTTGTCATTATAAGGCTTGGCTGATGTTAACTATGGCACCTTTCTTTGTACAATGCATTTTTCAGGACTTTCAGGCTAGAATTCTTTTAATTATCAATCTCAGACTAACTGCCACAGTTACTCCAGTCATCCTGTTTAGGTTTTCTAAATAAAACGCATCATTAGTTGTACCTGTCCCCTTATTCTTCTAGCATTCCGGAGTTTATTAAATGAGTCTCAATGGCTCAAGAATTCTCCATCCAATTAAAAAAAAAAAGTCTCCTGAACACAGATCTTCTCTTTAACAACAGTTAAACACAGTTTTGCTGCATTAAGCCTTATTTTGCTATTATAGAACGTGCTATTAGGATCCATTTTATTGTCCTTTTGTTCCTAAATCCCCTATCAATTTTTTTTTTTAAACAATGCTATTACTCTTTTGGTCCAAGAAGTGGCAAACTTGTTTTTTATTCACAATTTAAAGTAATCTTTTTTGCTTAGTTCCTCCAGTTTCTGATGATTATATTTAATGAATTGCTTACTGTTTATCACTGCACGTTATTTTAACCAACTTCCTTTTTAAAAGCAGGAACACAGTCTCAGGCTTGCATGATGCAAGACTATTTTAAAAATTTTGTGTCTAATTTCTCCCAATTAAAAAAGAACAGACAACGCAGAAGCAAATAGCAACTAAAAAGAACAAAATAGTTGCCTACCCAACACCTAGAACTAAAGACAGTTTTAGGAAGTGAAGTGACTTCCACTTGGAGAAGGAGATTGCTTTGCAACAATGAGAAATGCTTGAATTCAGCTGGATTTAGTATAACCAAGGTCACCATACCAGGATGAGAAGTAGTATGACCCAACCCAAGACAACAGGGAGCAGTATTTGAAGGTTCTGTCATATGATATTTCAGTACCAAAGAGAAATTTTAAAGATCTTGGCCTGATGGGTAAAGCCTATAATGAAACATATGCATCACTCTGACCTTACAGAAAGCAAAAAAGAAGTTATTCAGCCTTAATTTGCCTGGTCAGCTATTTGCTTTAGACACACCCTTATCTTCTCCACTCACCAGCCTTCTCATATGTACTGTCTTCCCCTAACAAGACTCAAATTCAGTTCTGCAATAAAATTAAAGATAAGTTTGTTAACTTTCAGAGTTCTTCCCTAGAAGTTTACATTAAAAACCCCCACACCTTCAGGGCCTTAGCAGCATGGAATTTACCATTAAGAGATTCTCAGAACAGTTACTTGTTAAATATGGGTCTCTCCTATATCTGTTTCCCCTCACCCCTTCCCTCTTGGAGGGAATAAAGATGTATAGCAAATACACTCAACAGTTGTAAAGATGCTGGCTGATGTACACACAACAGACCGAGAGATGCTTATTGCTAAAAATCCCTGAATATTTCACCCGGACTATGCACTCTCAAGAGGTACAAAACCAGAGCTTGAATGGAAGAATTAGCAGCCATTGTCATTACCAGTTCTTTGGTCTATTATCACCTAAAATCACAGGCTGAGATCCTTTAGACTGTTCTTCATCCACCCCACTTTATTTTGTTCATCCAATTTCCTGCTCTGTT